GAATTCTACCTATGATCGATGATCAATTGATTAATCCGAACCCTTGAATCAGAATTCGGTAAGACTGATTTCTCTTGTTTGTTCGTTGCTATTTGCTTTCTTGTTCTTTTAAAATTTTTAATTATTTAATTTTCCCACTCCATTATATTATTCATTCGGCTGAGAGATTATTGTTTAGCTCCCTGTGAGATTCGACCTAGTACCACTTTTACTGCAAAAAATTTATTGTGGGACTAGCACTAATTTTGAGAGCTTCGACAACCCATCAAAATTTTGGCGCCGTTGCCGGGGAGCTACTTTAATTTCTTAGCTTGTTACTTTCTATTTGTGTTAACCTTCTTGTTTTATGACTCGTGCTTCTCAAAGAGGTGAACTAGAATACAACCCCGAAATTGAGAAGACTACACGTCATTTAAGGAAGGAGGCGAAGCAAAGGAAGGACCTTCACCTAAAAGTGTAGAAGAGGAAGAAAGGATGGCTGATAGAGAGAGAACGCTAAGGGAGTTGGCTGCACCAATCATGAACCAACAGCCCCTGTGCATAACATATCCCACTCTCGAGATAGCCTTTGATCTAAAATCTGGTTTGATTCAATTAATTCCTATTTTTCATGGTTTTCCAGGTGAGGACACTCACAAACATCTCAAGGAATTCCATGTTGTCTGTTCAAGCATGAAACCACAGGGTATGACCAAGGACCAGGTAAAATTAATAGCTCTTCCATTTACTTTACGAGATAAAGCAAAGGATTGGTTATATATTATTCCTCCCGGTTCGATACGTACATGGGATAAGATGAACAGAATATTTTTAGATAAATATTTTCCTACATCTTGAGCTGCAAACATTAGGAAAGAAATCTGTGGAGTTCGACAGTTTGGTGGTGAGACACTATACGAATATTGGGAAAGATTTAGACAACTTGTTGCTAGCTGTCCACGCCACCAAATACCCGAACAACTCTTGATCCAATACTTCTATGAAGGACTCCAACCTATGGATAGAAGTATGGTAGATTCAGCTAGTGGAGGAGCCTTGGTAAATAAAACACCCGAAGCAGCCAAGGAATTAATTTCCAACATGGCCAAAAATTCACAACAGTTCGGAGCAAGAACAGATGGCACTACTAGGCATGTTAATGAGGTAAGTCATATTAATTTAGAAAAACAAAATTCAGATTTAACTGCTTTGGTAAGACAATTGGCTGCAGGGTATGTGGTGTCTGTTCGATCCCTGGGCATCCTACGGATATGTGTCCATCACTACAGGATGGATCGATGCAGCAAGTTAGTACCGTAGGAGGATTTCCGGGTCAGCCTCAATGCAAGTATGACCCCTACTCCAATTACTACAATCCGGGATTGAGTGACCATCCAAATCTGAGCTACGGAAACCAAGGAGGACCACAGAGGTATCAGCCCCATATTTTCAATAGACAGCCCCAATTTTCAGCACCTATCACAACGCAAGGCCAACCCTCAAGTTCAGGTATGTCATTAGATGAAATAGTTAAGGCCCTAGCTACTAACACTCAGCAATTTCAGCAGGAAACAAGAGCCAGCATCCAGAACTTGGGGAACCAAATCAACCAACTTGCTACTTCCATTAGCAAATTGGAGGCGCAGAACTCCGGGAAACTACCATCATAGACGATAGTCAACCCCAAGGAAAATGCAAGTGCAGTGGTGCTAAGAAGCGGGAAGGTGTTGCAGCCCCAACCTACCTCACCAACGAAGGCAGATAAAGGAGATAAGGAAGAGGAGAGACAAGGTTCAAACGAGGACCCCATTGAGGTAATATCCGATCCCCCTCTCCCTAAGATTACTAATGCCATTGTACCACCTTTTCCTAGTAGGTTGGAAAAGTCCAAGAAGGAGGAATATGAGCAGGAAGTCTTAGAAACCTTCAGGAAGGTGGAAATCAACATCCCCTTGTTAGATGCTATAAAACATATCCCGAAGTATGCAAAGTTTCTAAAAGAATTGTTCACTAACAAGAGGAGGCTGCGAATCAATGAGAAGGTAAGGGTTGGGGAAAACGTTTCAGCTGTCATCAAGAGGACTTTGCCAGAAAAACGTGTTGATCCAGGTATGTTCACCTTACCTTGTGTGATTGGAAATAAACGAATCGAGTGTGCCATGCTAGACTTAGGTGCATCCATCAACGTCATGCCATACTCGATTTACTGTGCTTTGAGATTAGGTCCCTTGAAGGAAATTAGGGTTGTTATTCAGCTAGCTGATCGTTTTAATGCCTACCCGGAAGGGATTGTTGAGGATGTGTTGGTGCAGGTTAATGATTTAATTTTTCTAGCCGATTTTTACATCCTGAAGATGGAGGAGGACACAATCACAAGTTCAGCCCCACTTCTATTAGGTAGGCCATTTATGAAAATGGCCAAGACCAAAATAGACGTGGACGAGCGTACCCTCTCCGTCGAGTTCGACGGAGAGATTGTTAAATTTAATATATTTGATGCTATGAAATATCCAAGTGAATGTCATTCGATCTACTCTATTGATACCATTGATTCGATTGTGTGGGAAGTTTTTGGAGAGGAGGACATGGATGAGGAACTTGAATTCAGTGCACAATTGGACAGGGAGGAGGAATTCGATACACCCTATGACACTCCAAAACTGATGCCGGAACAAAAGGTAATCAACTCTGATCTTCTATCGTCATTTTCTCATAAGAAATTGTTGCCTTCTATTTTGCAGGCTCTGTAGTTGGAACTAAAGACCTTACATAATCACCTTAAGTATGCGTACTTGGGCGAAAAAGAGACACTACCCATGATCATTGCGAAAGGGTTGACTGAAGAACAAGAGGAGTGGCTCATCAACGTCCTAAAGGAACATAAGGCGGCGATTGGTTGGACCTTAGCCGACATAAAGCAGATCAACCCCTTGATTTGCATGCATAGGATCCTTTTGGAAGATGGTGCCAAACCAGTTAGAGAACCACAAAGAAAACTCAACCCGATAATGAAAGAAGTAGTGATGAAAGAAGTACTTAAATTGTTAGATGAAGGGATAATCTACTCAATTTCAGATAGTAAATGGGTAAGTCCTATACATGTTGTACCCAAGAAAACTGGGGTAACCATGGTAAAAAATCAAAATAATGAACTAATCCCAATGAGGGTACAAAGTGGCTGGTGTATGGTAATTGATTTTCGAAAACTTAATTTGGCCACTCGAAAGGACCACTTTCCCTTACCCTTCATCGATCAGATGTTAGAAAGATTAGCAGGTAAAGCCTTCTTCTATTTTCTCGATGGATTCTCAGGATATTATCAGATAGTTATTGCCCAGGAGGACCAAGAGAAAACAACTTTCACTTGCCCATTCGGTACCTTTGCTTAYAGACGGATGCCTTTCGGTCTGTGTAACGCTCYAGGCACTTTTCAAAGATGCATGATAAGTATATTCTCTGATTTTATTGAGAAGTGCATTGAAGTGTTCATGGACGATTTTACTGTTTATGGTGATTCATTTGATGATTGCTTAAATAATTTAAGAAAAATTCTGAATCGATGTGTAGAGACAAATCTTGTTTTGATTTATGAAAAATGCCACTTTATGGTAAAGGAAGTTATTGTGTTGGGATATGTTATTTCGGCTAGAGGAATAGAGGTCGACAAGGCCAAGATTGATTTAATTATGAGCTTACCTTACCCGACAAATGTTAGAGAAGTTCGTTCCTTTCTTGGACATGCAGGTTACTATCGTAGGTTCATCAGAGACTTTTCAAAAATCGCCCTGCCATTGTCCAACTTGCTTCAGAAAGATGTGCCTTTCGATTTCGGTGATGAGAGCAAGGAAGCATTTGACAAGCTCAAGATACTATTAACAATTGCACCCATTATTCAACCACTTGATTGGAACTTGCCCTTTGAGATCATGAGCGATGCAAGCAACTATGCGGTAGGGGCTGTTT